AGATGGTCACACTGCTGGGCAGAGAGATGGTCACACTGCTGGTAAGAAAGATGGTCACACTGCTGGCCAGAGAGATGGTCACACTGCTGGTCAGAGAGATGGTCACACTGCTGGTCAGAGAGATGGTCACACTGCTGGTCAGAGAGATGGTCAGACAGCTGGTCAGAGAGCCAGCCTGACAGGCAGCTAGACTCCTGGGCAGAGAGCAGCTCACTCCAGCCCCCTAATCCCACCGGCACACAGATCCTCTTACGGCCGGATTACTCTGCAGGTAGAACCGCTGATTTCCGCACTGTAACCCCTTTAGGAAACATCAATCCCATTACAGCAGCGGGAGGGCAGCGGCCTGCTGGCCCCCACCTCCCCGGCCTGCTCCGCTGCAGGAAATTGAAGCAATAATTCTTTTGTTTTCCCCTGTTATTTCTGTGGTCTGAAATTGCTTTTATTTTATGCTGAGCTGCTGTTAAAGTGCAGGTCACCTCAGCCTGTCAGGTACCTGCAGTGTCTGACGACAGCTCTCCTTTCTTGTGAACATCGGAAAATGGCCCAAAAACTTTCAGAAATGTATTCCCAGTATTTGTTCAGAGTCCTTTATTCAGAGTCTTCATCAACTAATTTCCAGTGGTAACACATAGAAGCCACAGAGCTCTGGGAGTCCAGAGAGCCCAGAGAGTGCCGGTGTCACGATTATAGTCCCTCCTCCTTAAGGGTGCTCCAGCCCTTTCACTTTAGACTTTATTCTGTGCACCTGATTCCTATTCCCAGCCCACCTTAAAAGCCAGGCGCTGACGCTCATCTGGGCTCTGCATCTGGTTTCCGCACCGTGCGAGTCCGGGACCTGGAAGCACCTGGTCCCGTTAAGGTTTTAACCTCTGTTCCCGTTCCCTGTCCGCCGGTTCCGACCCGGTTCATGGTTTTAATTCCTTGTTTGGATGGATCACCTGGCTATGGACTTATTCTTGTGTTTTTGGATTCCCTCTATGGATTACTTCTGGATTGTTTGCCTCGGCCACACCTCCCCCGTGCACCAGCGCACCTTGGACACGCCCCCCTGTCTTCAGCCCCGTATCCCTGCATGACCTTTCCCCAGTGTTTCCCACTTCTTCGGATTGTGTCGTCCGCATAGGGTCCGGAAAGAACTGTTCGTTACAGCCGGCAGTCTAAAGAACCTGAAGAGACTTGGGAACCCAGATAACCCAGGTAGCTCAAGGCAAAGACAGCCCAGTAAATACTGGGAGTCCAGAGGGTTGAAAGAGCCCATGTAGTTCTGGGAGTCCAGAGAACCCAGAGAGTAAACTGTATTTACTGAATTTAAGGCTAAGACCCAGACCATACCTGTGGAGTCACAGACCAGACCTGTGGAGACAGGATCCTAGACTGAGACTCAGACCGGATCTGTGGAGACAGTGTACTAGACTGAGACCCAGACTGGGCCTGTGGAGACTCAGATCTTCCTTTGTTCTAGTTTTCCTACGGTATATTTTTCTAAATTTATTTTTTCAAATCTGTCACAGTAAGCAAACCATTCATTTGCAGAGCTGTCTTTACAAATGCATCATTAAAGAAAAAGGCCTTTGAACCAGGTGTTTCACTCTGAATCAGGAGTGTCAGCGTGAACCAGGTGTT